TACCCCTTATTATTATTATGAAAACAAAAAAATGATAACAACATAAGTACTTCCCCATACCATACCCTTACATTCTAAATTAAGAAAAAAAAGACTAATTAAAACATGCCCTACAAACATTCGTCCTAAATATTACCCATGTACAATATTAGAAGCAAAATTAACCACTCAAAATTATCCTAATTAACGGTGTCCGTTAATTTAAGAAGCAAAACTAACCACTAAAAAATTCTTAATTAACGACGACCGTTAATTTCGCCGTGACCGGCCTCTTTAAATACCTTTCTCTTCGTCTGAACAAATGCATCACATCCTTTAACACAGAGTTCAAAGGGAGAGAGGGCCCTCCTTAATTAGAGCTCTGTTAATAAATTAATTAATCACTGAAGAAATAAAATATTAATAATAACAAATAAAAAAAATGGGTGACTCCGACGGTAATAAGAAGAAGATTATCGTCGGCGGGATGGCCTCAGTCCTTCTCGTGGCCATGGTTGTTTGCGTCACCATCGGCGTTTCCGGCAGAAACAGCGGCGGCGACGCCGCTGCATCCAACAGCGGTGGAGGCGGCGTTAGCACCAGCACCAAGGCGGTTCAGGCGATTTGCTCTCCGACGGATTACAAGGAGACCTGCGAGAGCAGTCTCGCCGGCGCCAACACCACCGACCCTAAGGAGCTGATTAGGTTGGCTTTCAACGCCGCCGTCAATAACATCGGCGACGCCATAAAAAACTCCACACTCTTCAAAGACGCCGCCGCAGATAGCAGCACCAAAGACGCGTTTGATATCTGCGACGACGTGCTCGGTTCCGCCATCGACGATCTGAAAAGAGCCGGCGACAAAGTCGGTGAATTCGACGCCACCAAGGTGGACGAATACGTGGAGGATCTGAAGGTGTGGCTGAGCGCCGTCATCACTTACCAGGAAACATGCATCGATGCCTTCGAGAACACCACCGGCGACACCGCCGAGAAGATGAAGAATCTGTTGAAAACTGCCAGAGAATTGTCCAGCAATGGTCTCGCTATGGTTTCCGATGTTTCATCCATTATTGGCCAGTTGCAGCTCGGAAACCTAGGCGGCAGCACCAGCCGGAGGCTGCTCTCCAAGGAAGAAAGAGTTTTGTACGGCGGCGATCCCACCGACTACGCCCCCGGAGAGGACCCCTACTGGATAAAATCCCCTCATTCCAGAAGACTACTTTCCGCCGCCGCCGCGCCGTTGAAGCCAAACGCCGTCGTTGCACTGGACGGATCCGGCCAATTCAAGACAATCAAAGACGCAATCAACACCATCCCAAAGAAGAACACCCAGCCATTCGTCATCTTCATTAAGGCTGGTCTGTATAAGGAGCATGTCGAAATCCCGAAGAAGGTGAACGGAGTTGTGATGATCGGAGAAGGACCTTTGAAGACCAGAATCACCGGCAGCAAAAGCTACGCCGGCGGTGTCAAGACTTTCCATACCGCCACAGTCGCCGTCAACGGTGAAGACTTCATGGCCAAAGACATCGGATTCGAGAACACCGCCGGAGCAGAGGGGCACCAGGCGGTGGCACTCCGCGTCTCCGGCGACAGAGCCATATTCCTGAACGTGGCAATCGACGGGTACCAAGACACACTGTACGCGCACAACTACCGACAGTACTACAGAGACTCCACCATCTCCGGCACAATCGACTTCATCTTCGGAGACTCACTCGCCTACTTCCAGAACTGCAAGTTCATCGTCAGAAAGCCAATGGAAAACCAGGCATGCATGGTCACAGCACAGGGGCGCGTGGACCCACGCAGCGTCGGAGCAATCGTCATCCAGAACGGTGACATCACCGCCGAGCCAGCTTTCCTGGCGACAACACCGCCGATCGATGCATACCTAGGCCGGCCATGGAAGGAGCTCTCAAGAACAATCATCATGCAGACAAATATCGGCGGATTCATTGCACCAGAGGGATGGTCGCCATGGATGGGTAACTTTGCATTGGATACATGTTACTATGGGGAGTACCAGAACCGTGGAGCCGGGTCGGGTCTAGCGAAACGGGTCACGTGGAAGGGTATCAAGAAAATAACACCTGAGATTGCTCTGAGCTGGACAGCTGGACTTGCCTTCAAAGGTGATGACTGGATCAAGAGCTCCGGTGTTCCGTATAATCCTTCCTTCATGCAACCTTTATAATTAATTAATTTTTTTATTTTTTATTTTTATATATACATTTAATGGTTAATTCCATTTGTTGTAATGTAATCATGATATAAGAATTCTTCAGTGAGTATATATATATTTTTTGTTTATGATATTAAGTAGTCCATTTCTTAATTCAATTTTTTTTTAACTTGTGGTTATTTATAAGAAATACAGCCTAAAAAAAAATATTAAATGTGAGTTATAAATTAGTCACCATTCACCAAAATACTTGTTTAGAAAATAACATGTGACAATAAAATATGTAGATCGTTCATTGTTGTCATCTATATATGGTTCTTTTTCGAGTTAATTGCAAATACCATCCTTGTAAAATCTCTAATTGTCAAATTTCCCCTGTCAAAAATAAATTCGTTCGTACCCTTGTGTAAACAAAGTCAAGGCATTGAGACCCCTGAGAGCAAATCGTGTCTCTCACGCACTACTATTGCGATTTTTTCTTAATTTTCGACTGTGAAATGTCAAAAATGTCCCTCAAGCCCCTATTCCGATCCCTCCCTGATCTTCATTCTTCATCGTCCCAACATGTACCAATATCCACCAAGGATTACCGCTACCAGACGCAAGATGAAGATGGTGTAAGAAAACTCCCTCTCGACGGTCGCGAAATTACACTACCACAACTCCTTTATGGGCCTCAGCCGCCCACCTCCGCCGCAAAATGGGGCGCCCTCAATTGGGAGAAGTGAATCCAAACCTCGGCCCAACCCCACTCCAATTCTCCCTCCTACTTCCACAACAATAGACTTGCAAAAAACGCATTCCACAGCCATCTACATACCCATTATCAGAAATCGACAAAATCGATCAAGCCACGAACTTCTACGCCGCCACCAAAAAAATCGGAGCTTGAAGAAGCCCAAATAATTGATGGATGTGGTGGTGCATGGTGGGCGGCGGCGGTGAATGATAAGTATGATTGGAAATTGAGAGGAAGAGCGGGAAATTGGGCTGCGGTTGGAAAAAAATGCAGAAAGTTGGGAGATGAATTTTGGAAAATTGCAATTTAGCCCCCCAATTTAAGTTTTAGAAGTTTAACATAATTCCAATTTGGCCTCTTAAATTATTATAATTTTATGTTATTCCACTCAGGGGTATACTTGTCTTTTTATATTCGGTCAACCATTAAAATGATAATGGGTGCGGTGAGCTTAGAAAAGTATTACACAAGGGATATTAGCGAATTTTTTTTGACAGGAGATATTTGACAATTAGAAATTTCATACAGGTGGTATTTGCAATTAACTAGTTCTTTTTCTGTAGAGAAATAGTCAATGTACAATATTTCTTCTCTTTTATCAGAAACTAGTAATTGTACCCGTGCGATGCACGGGACAACAAATTGCATTGTTTTGATGTTGTAAGAATATAAACTATATCGTATCATCAAAATTCTATTATACTGGAACATTATTAAGTATACTACATACAAAAAAAAGGAAATAACTTTACTGTTGAATAATTTTCCAAATGAATTGAATCAGCTAATACCAGTAGATTGAAAATTTGAACCAGGAAAAAAATCATCAACTATGCTATCATGTTGAGCTTAAAAGTAATTAGATTTAATAACTTAGTTAACATAATCAAAACTAAACTATCGACAACATAAAATGCCATCTATACATCTTGCATCGGAACTAAGCCCTTCTCCACTGCCTCATTTTAAGGCTGTTTTGCCACTGGAATTAACAATTGGAAAATTAAGAAACAAAAATAAATATAAACAATAAATTAAATATCGCATACAAACAATAAGTCTTGAAGGTCGACTTCCAATAGCTTGTGGCTCCGCCCATTTTTGGTTAATTCTCTCAAATCATCCATTTCAATAACATGTCCAATAACATATAAAATGAAATAATTGTTATACATAAAATTTGAAAACTTTGGTATAAATTAATGAAACACATAATTTAACAAAATGAAATTACCTATAAGCCATGATGGAAAAAGATGTAAACTAATTGCCACACAGTCAATAGGATGAAGAAGATAAAAAACAAAATCTAAAGTCGGGTTACCAAAAGAAGAAGCCTTAGGTAGGGAAGAAATAAAATTCAAATGTTGCAGACATTCTGTAAAACGATGTCACAAAATTCGCTAGGGATGAAAATCAGATTTATTTACCCTTTTCTGTAAAAATCGAAAATCAGATTATTATAAATAATATCTAGGAGAATTTGATGAAAATCGATAATAATATTTGATGAAAATCAGATTTATTTACCCTTTTCTGTAAAAATCGAAAATCCAATTATTATAAATAATATCTAGGAGAATTTGATGAAAATCGATAATAATATTTAAAATAATATTTAGGAGATAAAAATTTGATAAAAAAATCAAAAAATAATATTTAGGAGATAAAAATCGAAAATAAAATTTAAAATAATAGTTATAAGATAAAACTTTGATAAAAATCGAAAATAACATTTCAAATAATGTTAATGAGATAAAAGTTGATAAAATATGAAAATAATAATTAGAATAATATTTAGGAGATAAAATATGATTAAAATCAAAATTATTATTTAAAATAATATTTAGGAGATAAAAATTTGATAAAAATCGAAAATAATATTTAGGAGAAAATAACCTGATAAAAAACAAAATTAATATTTAGGAGATAAAAAGCTAATAAAAACATGGTAAAACTCGAAAAAAATATTTAAAATATTATTTAGGAGATATAACTTTGAAAATTTTTGAAAATAATATTTAGGAGATAAAAATCTGCTAAAAGTTGAAAATTATATTTAAAATTATAGTTAGGAGATATAAAATTGATAAAATTAAAAAAATATTATTTATAATAATATTTAGGAGATAAAAATTTGATAAAAATAAAAAATAATATTTAGGAGACAAAAATCTGATAAAAATAAAAAATAATATTTAAAATAATATTTAGGGGATACAAATATGATAAAATTCGAAAATAATATTAAAAATAATATTAAGGAGATAAAAATTTGATAAAATTGAAAAAAAATTTACAAATATGTTGAAAATTATATTTAAAATTATAGTTAGGAGATATAAAATTGATAAAATTAAAAAAATATTATTTATAATAATATTTAGGAGATAAAAATTTGATAAAAATAAAAAATAATATTTAGGAGACAAAAATCTGATAAAAAAAAAATAATATTTAAAATAATATTTAGGGGATACAAATATGATAAAATTCGAAAAATAATATTTAAAATAATATTAAGGAGATAAAAATTTGATAAAAATTGAAAAAAAATTACAAATATGACATTAGGGTTTCTTAGGGTTGCCCTAGCGTTTCTTTATTTTATATATAAGATGAAGGAAATGAGGAAAGTTAAGATGGCCTAATATAGCAGAAATATTTTCTTAGTTTTGCAACAATGGATTCTTCCTCAAGAAGTAGTGTGCTAAAACTTATTGTGACGTTATTTAGTACCGGCGGAATTTGAAGCAGTGGCCGATGAAGCCGGGAAGTTAGTGCATGCATTCGTTGTTATTTTCCGTCGTCGATCCAATATTGAAACCAACGGATGAGAGATGTTTGACGCTTTAATTTCCTCGAAAAATATCAGCTACTTATTGAAATTCAGCATCGATCACCATATATATATATCCTTAGTTCGATCTGCTGCCTGCATTTATCGAAACAGAAACCAATACAACTCCAAAGATGGATTCAATCTTCATCCTCCACTCTCTCCTTATCAAATATTTAATTCGCATATATCGTTTTTAATTTTTAGGGTTATCAAAGATTTAAATGGCCCTTTTTATATATAATATATATTGTGATGATTATATATATTCCATTCAGATAAAAAGTAACAGTACTATGCATTTTGAATTAAACAATAAAAATTATAAACAGCAAATAAGAATATATGATTATATATATAGTTCACACCAAACTCGGTGTTCTAGTTTGTTGGTTTTTATATAAAATTAATGGTAATTAGTTCCATTTGTTGTAAGTTGTAACTTGCAATGTAATCATTGAAATTTTATAAACTTTTTTTTTAATTATTAATTAACCACGTTTTTAATTACCTACATTGAAAGTACTTATTACAGAAATCTATATATTCACTGAAGAATTCTCATAACAACAAATTAAATGAAATTTAAATCAACTATTATTACAAGATCCCAAAACAAAAAATAAAAAAAAATAAATTATTCAATAAATAAATTAAATCTTCATTAGGGTGGGAACATATGGAACCCTAGCAGCTTTAATCCATTCATCACCTTTAAAGGCAACTCCACCGGTCCAGCTCTGTGCAATCTCAGGTGTGATTTTCTTAATACCCTTCCATGTGACCCGGTTCGCTAGACCCGACCCGGCTCCACGGTTCTGGTACTCTCCGTAATAACATGTGTCCAGTGCAAAGTTACCCATCCATGGCGACCACCCATCTGGTGAAATGAATCCGTCAATATCTGATTGCATGATTATTGTTCTTGAGAGCTCCTTCCATGGCCGCCCTAGGTATGCATCGATCGCCGGTTTTGTCGCTAGGAAAGCGGCTTCGGCGGTGATGTGTCCGTTCTGGATGACGATTGCTCCGACGCTGCGTGGGTCCACGCGCCCCTGTGCTGTGACCATGCATGCCTGGTTGTCCATCGGCTTTCTTACGATGAATTTACAGTTCTGGAAGAGTGAGAGGGAATCGCCGAAGATGAAATCGATCGTGCCGGAGATTGAGCAGTCGCTGTAGAACTGTCTGTAGTTGTGTGCGTACAGTGTGTCTTGGTACCCGTCTATGGCCACGTTGTAGAACACCGCCTTGTCGCCGGAGACACGTAGCGCCACCGCCTGGTGACCCTCTGCTCCGGCGGTGTTCTCGAATCCGATGTTCTTCGCCGTGAACTCCTCGGAGTTGACGGCAACGGTGGCGGTTTGGAAGGTCTTGACTCCGCCGGCGAAGCTCTTGCTGCCGGTGATTCTAGTCTTGAGAGGACCGTCGCCGATGAAGACGATCTTGTTCATCTTCTTCGGGATCTCGACGTGTTCCTTATAAACACCGGCTTTGATGTAGATGACGAATGTCTTTTCATTGTTCTTTGGGACTGAATCAATGGCTTCTTTGATTGTCTTGAATTGACCGGAGCCGTCTTGTGCTACGACGGCGTTTGGCTTTGCGTACGCCTTCCCTCTTAGAACTCTTCTCTTGATCCAATCGTCGTTGGAGAACAGCCTTCTGCTTGTGGTGGCGCCGCCGCCAAGATTACCGAGCTGCAACTGTCCGATAATGGAGGAAACATCGGAAACCATAGCCAAACCATTGCTGGACAATTCTCTGGCAGTTTTCAACAGATTCTTCATCTTCTCGGCGGTGTCGCCGGTGGTGTTCTCGAATGCGTCGATGCATGTTTCCTGGTATGTGATGACGGCGCTCAGCCACACTTTCAAATCCTCCACGTATTCGTCGACTTTGCTTGCGTCGAATGAGCCGACTTTGTCGCCGGCTCTTTTAAGATCGTCGATGGCGGATTCGAGGACGTCGTTGCAGATGTCTAAGGCGTCTTTGGTGCTGTTATCAGCGGCGGCGTCTTTCAAGAGGGCTGAGTTTTTAATGGCTTCGCCGATGTTGTTGACGGCGGCGTTGAAAGCCACTTTGATGAGCTCCTTAGGGTCGGTGGTGTTGGCGCCGGAGAGGCTGCTCTCGCAAGTCTCCTTGTAGTCGGTGGGTGAGCATATCGCATGCACCGCCTTGTTGGCCGTGCTGATTCCTCCGCCACTGCCGCCGCCGGTGGAAGGTGCAGCGGCGTCGCCGGCGCTGTTCTTCTGGACACCTACAGTAACGCAAACGACCATAGCAACAAGAAGAACGGAAGCGAGACCTCCGATGAGGATCTTCTTCTTCTTTCCATCGTCCCCCATTATTATTCTTTTCTTTTTTTTTATTTAATTAATTATTTCTTCAGTGATTATTTCAGAGATCAGAAGGGGAGATCTCGCTACCTTTATTAAATGAATGAATGAATCCCCTTTGAAACTCTGAAGCTGATGATTATTTCTTTGTGAAGAGTTATGTATTTATAGTTGGAGAATTTTGATCTCAGAATTCTATATTTAGATGAATGTAGGGTTGTCCGATAATATCGGTACCGGAACCCTAGGGTGGCCATGCATTTTAATTAGTGGTCGGCCGTACGTTGTGATATTTTAATTTGAATGTGCAATTCAATTATCCAAATTAATAATTACATTAATGCTCTAATATAAAATACCAATGTTCGTTTGATAGAACTCAAATCTGTGTAATGGATTATTGAATCCAACCCATTGACCCACTCTTTCATGAGGCAGCCCAACACTCAAAGTCTAGCAGCACAAAAGTCAAAGTAATCGGTCAAACCCCGAAAACTCTCTAAATTCTCTAATCTTGACTCTTGGTTCTTCCTCTTTTGATCCTCACTACTCATTCAAGATATTTAACATTTGCCTCTCTTTTAAATCCTATTTTCTGGTCTTTTCTTTCATTTCTCTCTCCTGATCGTACCACCGCATCGAATTTGTCTAGGCACTTCCCGACAATATGCCCGTTTGAATATGACGATGGTTGTGCCCTTTATGTTTTCTACTTTTAAGACAATTTTCATTTTCTCTCTCCCATAGATTATCTATGTAATAAATTAGTTATATATTCTCTTCTGCTTGACTTCGAGTTCAAATGAATGCCCTACATTAATGCATATGGTTACAAAAAATTAGTAGAAATTATTCTTTTATTATTTCTGCATTATCTCAATGCTTATCTTGCAAATTCAAATTACAAAATCGCCACCTTAATTATTGTTGCCTGTCCACAACATTGCATACTATACATAACAACATTATGTATTCTACAACATTATTATTATTACATATAAATAGTATTTTCAGAGCTTAGCTCTTCTTAGCTCTAATTTGGCAATAGTCCCCAAGTGAACTTCATCTGGACCATCTGCAAGTCTTAATGTTCTTGAAGTAGCCCATAAGTGTGCCAAAATAGTATCACCCGATAAACCAGCCGCACCGTGCACTTGCATTGCCATATCCAGCACTTTTAGTGCCATGTTTGGCGCCGCCACCTGTAAATTGTGCCACAATTTTACGATCCATAAACAAAACAACCGAGAAAAATATATGTTTGTAAGAACGGATTTTTTTGATTTTGGCCAATTCCGAGCCGGAATTTTCAATTTTGGAACAATATTTTCTAGTCCAAATCCCGAGGTTCGACTTCTGGGTTTTTTTCCGATTTTTTTGGATTGGAATTCGAATGATTATGAGATTCCGATTCCCGACCTGATTTCAATTTCCAAAAATTCTGATTTTTCCCAAATTTAGATTTATAAGCGTTATTATTATGTATTTTATATTTTACCCCTTATTAGTATCTATACATCTATATGTATATAATATACATACCTTGGCCATGGCAATGGTGCCACGAGCCTTTTTGTTTCCAAGAAGATCGAGTTGGTCAGCAGCTTCTAGAACAAGCAATCTAGTGCTCTCCAGCTCTATCCGGCACTGAACCATGATTAGAAACATTCATTAGTGCTAAACAAAGTACGAGGAAGTGTAATAATAAAGTAGCTCAAGAATACATGAAGCCTAGTTTGATTGGTAATATCGGTTGTAATTAATAAAACAATGCAGGTGAAATAACTTTTTTTCGGGAAATAAAATAGTAATAAACGAAATTACCTTGGCAACATCTGAAAGGAAAGATCCATGCTCGGCAATCAACTTATCAAAAACTCGTCTGCTTATCGCCCTTTGAATCATCATCTGCATCCCACGCTCTGCTGCACCAATCAATCTCATGCAATGGTGTAGCCTTCCGGGCCCCAGTCTACCCTGATTATATTACAAATAAAGTGAGAAAAACAAAATTAGAAACGATGAGAATAACCCTTAGAACAACCCATTTGTCTTATAATTTTTTTTTCTCGGGGCATACAGTAAAACAATCATTCAAGTTTCAACAGTTTCTCATGGAAATGAACATGAACTTATTTTGGCAACCAAACAAGGGGAATAAATTTCGAGTTTATTGCATTTAGTACCTGTGTGTTATACCGAATTGCTAAAAACTCCTCGTGTTATGAATATTAGCAAACAACCCCCTATACTGTTTTTTTAGTCCTAATATTATGGTGTGTTTTTAGGGGTAGATTGCTGATAAAATTGAACAACAGGGGGGATTTTACTGATATTTACAACATGGGGAGTTTTTTGACAATTAGAGTAAAAACAGGGGTACTAAAATTTCAATTTACCTGAGCAATTTCAAATCCTCGTCCCTCACCAAGAAGGATATTCTTGGATGGAACTCGTACGTTCTTGAATAATATTTCTGCATGTCCATGCGGTGCATCATCAAAGCCAAAAACTGTCAACGGTCTTTTTATGTTCACACCAGGGGTATTTATGTCCACCAAAATCATCGACTGTTGTTTATGCTTAGGGGCTTTGAAATCGGTTTTCCCCTGCACGTATTTCTCAAATTAAAATATCGATAACTTTGTGGATATATTATATATATATATATGTGTGTGATAAAAGCAGAACTAACCATGACAATAAGGATTTTGCACCTAGGATCCATGGCTCCACTAGTCCACCACTTCCTCCCATTGATAATATACGAATCTTCATGCCTGTAGTTAAATATCGTGTTACGTGTTTTCATTTTTCAACAATATTGTTAGGAAAAAACAAACTAATCTACCTATGTAAGAAAATAAAATGATTTATTCTTAAAAAAAGTACCTTGTAATAGAACACTCTATATTAGTAGCATCGGAGGATGCAACTTGTGGCTCTGTCATTGCAAAACCAGACCTAATAGTTCCATCGAGTAACGGAACTAGCCATTCGCGTATCTGTTCATCATCTCCGTATCGCATTAAAACCTAACAAGAAAAGACGCATAATTCGATTAAAAAACTAATAATAAAATATATAAGTATTTAAGCAAACAAAAAAAAAAAAAAAAATTCTGACCTCCATATTTCCAGTATCAGGTGCTCCACAGTTAAACACCTGTGGGGCCCACAATGAACGGCCCATGATCTCGCACAGGTATCCATACTCGAGGTTTGATAGACCAGCGCCGAGTAATTTATCAATCGCCTTGTCGGAAATGACTTTCTTAACCCTAGCAGCACTATCAAACTGCATACAAACCATTGACGTATTTATTAAAAAAATAGTGTTTTTTTTTCTTCCCGAAAAGGCATATGGAAAGTGTACGTACAGGAATAAATAAGTTCCAAAGGCCTTGTTTTCGTGCTAGCTCCTTCAATTTCTCCTCGTGTGGGTGAACAGACCAACGCATGTCAGATTGAGCGAGTTTGTAGAACTCATTTTCCATTGGGTATATATGATCCTCCATAAACTTGATTAATTTATTTCTTAATTCTTGAACCTTCTTATTCGGAACAAATCTTCCTCCACTTAAATTGAGGCTATCTCCGCTTCCGTTTCCATGTTGCATGTTTTCTTGACGAACTGATTCTGATATAAAGAAACCAAAGACAGCATTTAAGGATGGCTAAAATGTTTTAAAAGTAAATTATGAACTAAACAATTAAATTAGAAAATGGGATTACGCTGTGGAGGATGCAGGGGAAGAACCGATTCCCTATGAATAAATGCCCATGCAGTTTCGATTATAGCATCAGCCTTCTTTCCTGCATGACGGGCCCGCTCTCCTCCCGAAGCATTTCCCTAAAAAATAATAAGGTTGTAATAAAAAGATTTATTAGTACTAAGCTATTTAAATAAAAATAATTAATTAAGTTTAATATGTGTACTACCAAGATCCATCTACAATGTACTCCAGCGTAAATAGATGCCCCGCGGAATAAAGAAAAGGCGAGATAGAACTTCCATTGAGCGACAGGCCATGGTTTTCCCTGCAAACCAATCATCAATCAGAAGTAAGATTTCTTTATTTTTTTATAATTTACAACATTATCTAATTGTATACAATAAACTAGCAAATAGTCCTTACGACAGAAGCACAATATTCTGCAAGGTATTCCGCCAGTGATGGAACCCCTTCGGGTATTCTGCTAAATTCAAGACCTTCGTTCTTTTTCACTTCGTCCGAAGAAATATCCACAATGTAATGCTGGTACCAAAAGAACCAATAAGCATCATTAAAACGCAATAATTTTCAAAAAAAGGGAAGTATTTAATCAGAATACATAATTTAATAAAAGTTGAAATAGACTCGAGTACCAAGCAGCTGTATGCAACATCACACATTTGATTGCCTACAGTGGATAGTTCCCAATCAAGAATCCCGATCACTCTATCCTGCAAATACGAAGAAGCAAATAATTAAATTATTTCACAAGAAAAATAAAATAAAATAATCAGTACTTATTAACGTGTAAAAATTCGAATAAGTATTGACCTCAGTGGGATGAAACACAAGATTATCTATGCGAAAGTCGCCATGGACTAAACCTGCAGCTGTTCCCGAAGAATCTTCGATAGGAATATTCTTACGCAACCAATTCACAAGGTCCAACATTCTCGGGTTTCTGTTAGACTTGCCCTCACCCGTAGAAACAATATACTGTTTTGCCCATCTCTCCACCTGATGAAGTTAACAATATTTCAATATACTGTGTACACAAATAATAAAAAAAATCATTGCAACAGTGTCATTTTTTTACCTGCCTTTTACAGTAATCTTTCGGTTTGCCATAGCTGCGAAGACCAATGGCTTCCACGTCAGCAGAATGAAGAGCTGCCAAAGCTTTAGCGGTTGCATGATATATTGCGTTCCTTTGCGTAGGTGGTACATCCTAGACAATACGATGATAAATAATTACATCCTAAAAATAATGCATGGAAATAAAATATTCATTTAATTTGCGGAAAATTAGAAAGATCGAAACTCATACCGGGAGCATGGGATCTAAATAAATGCGCCCTTCGAGATACTCCATAATGTAAAACGGAGTCCCGATCACTTTCGAATCGGTACACAAACAATAAACTTTAGGCACTGGAACCAATGTATGAGTACCTAAGGCATGTAAAACCTGCAATCAAGAATGTCCGAAATAATTAGATAAATTGTTATTATCCAAATTCGAGCGATTAAACATCATGAATGGATAATACATCGAACTTAGTACCTGAAACTCTCTTTCAACAGCATGTGCAGATTCGAGCAATTTTCCGGGAGGTTTCTTCCTCATCACGTAACGCTTCTTTAACGATCCGGAGTGGACTTCGATGAGAAATGTCGGATTCGATTGGCCATGCCCAAACTGAATTTAATTAAAGTACATATAACACCACTAAATTATCTCGATTTCGGCAAAGAAATTTGAGAACACGTGTTTATTCGTCATCCACTTGAACACACAATCGAGTGTGTCAGCTCACAAGAATCCCGATTAAAAACGGAAATCGTAACGTGCAAAATTTCGGTCATTTTTTCATATAAACTGAGTAGTGAACTTAGTGCATATCGAAAAGCTAACAATTAGGCAACAGAAGGATAATTTTTCTTTTTGCATACCAATTTTTTTATTTTTTATGTTATTTTAGTGTGATCAGTTCTTCCAAAAATCAATTTCATCAAAGTCTACAATCTCCAATCATCAATTCACAATATCAATAATCAAATCGAGCCCTAGAAAATATTAAACAAATTGAAAGTGACACAAAAGCAAAACCTGAGAAACGATGAATTGGGAAGGAGTCTGCGGGAAACCGTCAACGCTGGCAATCGCGAAACGGAGCAAAGCATCAACGTCGAAGCTCTGGGCCGGGTCGACCCGACCCACTAGTTCCGATGTCCGGCTCGCCATCTCTTCGAGTTGTCGTCTACAAAAGAATTTTCGGTTCAAGTTGATCTACCTCGGGAATATCAATAGTGTTTAATCACTTGTCAGACAGAAAATGGATGAAAATAATCGAATTTCATTATAATAATAATAATAATAATAATAAATGGAGTAATTAATAATGTGAAATTATCAAATTCTTAATTTTTTTAAATTAATAAATATTGTCATAGCCACACGTGTGGCCCACACGCCCATAGCTCCCATAGGTATGGAGTGGATCATAGTAGTTAAACTCGCGAGATATCGCGAGATATATCGCGAGACGATACGGTTGCAATCAAAACGATACAACTCATAATATGTATTGGATATGCATAAATATCGTTAAATACCGCGAGATATCGTATCGTATCGTCATATCACGATACGGTACGATATTTACGATATTAGTCAAAATATTAAAAAAAAAAAAAAAGTAAAAAATTAAAAGAAAAAGAAGAAGAAAACGAAATATTCACATTATCAGGGCCTGAAAACGAATTTCAATATTATTTAATGTTTTTTTACATATACTATATCCAAGAAATTTACACGCAGAGTTTTATATTGATAAGAGAACATAGGAAAAGGCCAAAGTTGGAGTTATGAAATTGAAGAGATTGATAAACATGAGGATGCAGACACTTGTTTGAAATTGATGGATGAAAAAAAGTTAAGTTACATTGATCTTAAAGATTATGAGTGATAGATTAGTTTTTTTACAAATTAGGGATCAAAATTTGAACTTTGTTATGTTATTTTTATGAGCAGTTGTGACTTCTATCATATTTTATGATATATTTTATGATAGATTATTTTTTTAAGAAATTAGGAATGAGTGGTTTGACTTTAAAATATTAAATTTTACATTTTTATAGTATTTTTATTATGTAAATATATATTTTATTATTTTTAATAGCTGGTTAAATATCATATGATACGATAATGATACGATACGAAACTCGGAGGAAAACGATACGCCGATATTTTCCAATTCGATAACCATATAACCATAGAGTGGATAAAGAGATGCTTCAGATTAGATGGATAAGAAAGAAAGTTAAGAAAACATCAACAATCAATCAAATGATACAAAGGCTAATCATTACTCATTAGATCTTACTATTAGAGTTAAATTACAATATCACCCCTCACTATATTTTCTTTAAAATTTTGCTATTAGAGTTAAATTACAATATTACTCCTCGCTATATATTTTTTTTAACATTAATTAATATCCCATGCCAATTATGAGTTCAAAATTTAATTCAAATTAAATTTGAACACATGCTCTATCGAATATAACCAAATTATTTACCGTCCAACAAACAAATTAAATTATTAGTCGATTTAGATTTATTAATTGGGATGTGATAAATATCGTTACAGCTTTAATAATATCGTTTTGACTTCAAATGCGATTTTGATCATTTTTTACTCCAAATTTTCAAAACCGAAAACATAGAATTTGTAGTTTTTTTAGTTTAACTTTCCAATCTAACTTGAATTACGATCTGAAATTAATATTTTTTTAAATGTTACTTTTGGCAAATTTTCTCGTTGGATGGATCAATTTTTCAGTTCTCTAAACTTGGATTCTTTTCTTGAATGGTACAGCTGGCATTCAAATAAAGCATGCTTCCAACTTGATCAATTTAGAAAAATCATCAACAATATATACTAATCCTATTTCACCTAATTCAAAATGATCCAATATAAGGCAAAGTCAAATCACTATTATGTATTCATGGTTGCTGACTGCTGCTACTTTGTACACTAATGAATGAACTCTGCATCAAATTTAATTCATTGATTAAAAAAATAGATAACAAAACCATTTTCATATATATGAACTATATATACATAAAATATTTACATTTTAAGCATATTAAAGGCAGGCCTTGTCTCTTTGCACTTGGCCATGGTTTACTTAAAACAATAATCTCTATAAATTAAAAACACACACACACACACACACACACACACACACACACACACACACACACATTCTTGCATCTTCTTCTTTGTCAGTTTATATACATGTCTGAATTATATAAAACGGTTGGCCGGCCACGTGGATTCATCCCTTTGTCCTCAAACGGTGTAATATAATGAATATATTCTCTAATTTATCCCCTTATAATTAAGTGCCATTGAATTTTTCCTCCATTAATCAGAACTATAGCTTCCTAATTAATCATGAATTCCCTCATAAAATCATCAATATTAATAACAATTTGCATGTATTTTTTTCTTCATGCATTCTCCCATCAGCATGTAGATAATCTTCAATCTTGCTTGTTAAATCACAATGTGAAAAACTTCTCTTTATATCCATCTTCTGAAAATGACCCAACCACTACTATCTACTTCAATTTCCTCGATTTCTCGATCCAAAATCTCCGTTTTTCGGACCAAACTACCCCTAAGCCGATAGCCATCATTATCCCCGAGAGCAAAGACGAGCTAATACAAAGTGTCTTGTGTTGCAAGAATGAATCATGGGAGATTAAAGTGAGGAGTGGGGGCCATAGCTATGAGGGCTCTTCGTATATAACGAGCAATGGTTCAAAATTCGTTCTTATTGATATGATGAACCTCGATAGAGTCTCGGTTGACTTAGAGTCGAATACGGCTTGGGTTGAAGGTGGTGCAACCCTAGGTCAAACTTACTACTCGATTTCTCAGGCGAGCGGAGGGCTCGGATTTTCTGCAGGTTCTTGCCCTACGGTTGGGATTGGAGGGCATATCTCCGGTGGTGGATTTGGTTTACTTTCAAGAAAATACGGTGTTGCCGCGGATAATGTGGTGGATGCACTTCTCATTGATGCAGATGGGAGGTTGTTGGATAGGGTGGCTATGGGGGAAGAGGTCTTTTGGGCTATTCGTGGGGGCGGAGGAGGTGTTTGGGGGGTCGTTTACGCGTGGAAAATCGAACTTCTAGAAGTGCCTCAAATAGTTACGGGGTTTGTTGTTTCGAGGCCGGGATCCAAACGGGCGGTGGTGGATTTAGTCGAGAAATGGCAAGAAGTTGCTCCGAATCTCGAAGAGGGATTTTACTTGTCATGTTTCGTCGGGGCCCATTTGCCCGAAATGGAGAGTTTAGGGATTTCGGCCACGTTTAAGGGGTTCTACTTAGGTCCGAAAGTTGAAGCTGTCTCGATCATGAATGAGGTTTTTCAAGAATTGGGTGTTGTGGAAGGGGATTGTAAGGAGATGAGTTGGATTGAGTCCATTGTTTACTTTTCGGGATTGAGAAACGGGAGTAGTGTTTCGAGTTTGAAGGATAGGTACTTGGAGGAGAAGAACTATTTCAAGGCGAAGTCGGATTACGTGAGGGATTTAATCCCGAGAAGCGGGATAGCTTACGCTATCGAAATACTCGAGAAGGAGCCGAAAGGGTACGTGATTCTCGATCCTTACGGTGGGATTATGGAGAGGATAAGTAGTGAATCAATAGCATTTCCTCATAGAAAAGGGAATCTTTTCACAATCCAATATTTGGTTGAGTGGAAAGAAGAGGATAATGGGAGGAGGGAGGATTATATTGATTGGATAAGGGGATTTTACGATGCGATGGCGCCTTATGTGTCGTTCAAACCGAGGGCGGCGTATGTGAACTACGTGGACTTTGATCTTGGAGTTGTGGATTTTCTGAATAGGAGTGGATATGGTGGTGATGACGTGGAGGTGGCTAGGGTTTGGGGTGAGAAGTATTTCTTGAAAAACTATGATAGATTAGTGAGGGCTAAGACAGTAATTGATCCATTTAATGTGTTTAGAAATCAACAAGGGATTCCTCCTTTGGATGTTGTTAAGTATGGGAAAGCAGAAATATGAAAGCTTGATTGAGTTTTGAAATCATACAATGTATTGAATGATATACAATTTTCTTCATATCAAGTACTTACTATACTACAATGGGTAGATCTTTACGATTTATATATACACAAACACGCACACACCCACATTGGTGTGTAGATCAACAGTAAAAATTCATCCGATGTCAGCATAAAAATCACTGATTTTATTCTTTATGGATAAGTAGAATTCATATAATTGCAAAACATCCTAGGATATATCATAAATAGTCAACTAATTGAGGGTCAAGAATATTCTTTATGCCACTTTTTTTTGACCAAGATAAGGTGCACATAGCCCAAGAATCACACTACCAATTGATTCTTGGTTTTATACTTATCTGAAAAGAATCACACTACCAATTGATGACAATGCAAATTGGCCAATATTCTTTTCTATATAAAAAAAGAAGTTCTTCTGATAGATTTCAAAATGCAAAGATCTTTCTTACATCTGAGGTAGAAAATAATTACAAGAATAGGCATGGAGGGATCTGCACTAGTGGTCGAATACAAAGAGACGAAGGGGGGTGTTTCCGTCATAACACGGCTTAAACAAGACTGCGTGTACAAGTATGAGCTGCAGCAGACTCAACTTCATCAGGTGAACCCCTTTTCCTCGAACGAGGCGATGATGACGTCAGCAACGATGAGATATGAGGCGGCGGTCCCCGTTTCCGATCGTCGTGGCGGCGGCCAGACGAAATTTGTAGCTATGGCTTGTTAGATAATGTATTGAAAGTTGTGTTGCTTAGGCTTGTTTCTTCATCTTGTTAATTATGAATGTTTCAAGAATCCATTTGTTTTCGTATGCAGTAACTAACCGAAAAAACAACTCCGAATTCGATAAAATTGAATGAGGACCATATGTGTATATATATACTATTTTGGGGACTAAAATGAGAGGCAAAGATATTTATGTGAGATGAAGGGAAACTCATGATCAGACAACTTTAAACTAACTAACAAACAAACAACCATAGTCAATAACTAATTAGCACTCTCTTGATTCCACGTGGCGTTTACCTACTACTGGGAGAAACTGGGTTTCATGGCCCATGCAGAAGCCCGTTCCGAATTACGGTTCTTATACAAGGCACCGTTCAAGCAGTTTCCGACGCTTCCGCCTACTCCGGTGATGGATGGATCTCGTTCGAACAGATCAACGGCCAGGGCCGGTCCTGGGTGATTGGAGGCCTGATC